GCAGGGCTTTGGGCAAACAAGGAGCAGCAGTGGCCTGGGGTGTAGACCCCTGGTCATTCTCAAGCTTCTCTCTTGGGGTTCCTCTTGACAATGCAAGGTTATGATCCCTGCCTGTGACGTGAAGCAGGATGCTAGGTACAGTGAGTAGCTCCAGTCAGTGCAGCTCTGTGATCTGGGGAGTGTTTTGAAATGTGGGACGGTGCTGCCGTGCCAGACTTGTCACTTGGTTACTCCCTGGGATGTCAGCCTGGCACTGATAGAGATGCTGGGGTCGGAGTGGGATGCAGCACCAGCTCAGCACGTGAGGGATCGACTGTTTCCATTTGACAGATCCGGGAACTTGTCCCAGAATCCCAGGCCTACATGGATCTCCTCGCCTTTGAGCGCAAGCTGGACCAAACCATCGCTCGGAAGAGGATGGAGATTCAGGAGGCCATCAAGAAACCACTGACGGTGTGTGGCCGGCCAGGAGGGCAAGCAGCTGGGCAGGGTGGAGGGAGGAGATGGGTGCTGCCAGCCATCCTCTCGCTCCAAGCATCCCCCCTCTTTGTTTTCCCATTCCACAGCAAAAGCGGAAGCTGAGGATTTACATCTCCAACACTTTCACCCCGGCCAAAGAAGAAGGAGAGGGTGGTGAGCGTGTGGCCTCTTGGGAGCTACGTGTGGAGGGCAAACTGCTGGAGGACGTAAGGATCTGGGCAGGGATAAACGTGGCAGTGGGAGGAGGGCTGTGCTGCTTTTCCGGTGCTCTGTGCTGAGAGTTTGGATGGGGTGGATGCAGTCTTTCTTTCTCTGGGTGCTGGAGGCGGTGTTTTGGGCTGGGGCCCTCAATGGTGTTGGCAGCGTCAGGCCAAGCCTTGCACGCAATGTTTTGCAGCCAAGCAAGCAGAAGAGGAAGTTCTCCTCCTTTTTCAAGAGCCTCGTCATCGAGCTGGACAAAGAGCTGTACGGGCCAGACAACCATCTGGTGGAGGTGAGATGTGCCTGGCTGCACCCCAGGAAGGGTGAGGAGAGCTGTTCAGTGCAATGGGAAGTGAACCTTGCTGCTCACCCTGCAGGTGCTCAGATCCCCAGCCCAGCACCAGCAAGGCTTGCTGCATGCTTCAGGGTGGAGAGGGAGCTGTATTCAGCAAAGCAGTGCTGAGCTATCCCAAGAACCACACTGCTGTACTTTCTAGGCTGCAGTTTGCAGCTCAGCAGTGCTGGCTGGCAGCCCAGTGAGGCCAGTCTGGCCCCTCTCACCTGGATGGCTCCCAGAAGCAGGCTGCTTGCCCCAGGGTTGGTTCTTAACTCCCTCGTGTCCATGGCTGGAGCTGGGAGGTATCAGGGTGCAGCACAGGCACGGCTCTGATGGATGGCTTGGGCAGCCCCAGGCTCCTTCACAGAATCACAGAATCACAGAATCACCCGGGTTGGAAGGGACCTCAAGGATCATGTAGTTCCAACCCCCCTGCCTAGCAGGGCCACCAAACACACACATTCAGATCACTTCAGATCTGTGAATCTGTACTTCTGGCAAACACTGTGGTGGTTCCCCACTGTTGGAGGTAAATTCCCACTAAGTGGAATGGTTTGTGAGAGCAGCTGTGGCATCAAGCCCCTCCGGTGGGTGAAGCAGGTCTGAGATCCCACAGTGACTCCGGGAGCTGTTTGAGCAATTGGAATCAAGTGCTCAAACCAAATCCGCTGCTCTCCTAGTCCACCTGAACTGCCTACAGCTGGGCTGGAGCTCATCAGCGTTGGTGAGACCAAGTTAAACAGCCCCTTTACTCTCTCCTAGTGGCACCGTCTGCCCACGACCCAGGAAACTGATGGCTTCCAAGTGAAGCGTCCTGGAGACGTCAATGTGAAGTGCACCCTGCTGCTGATGCTGGATCACCAGGTAGGGTGTTACCAGTGCCACGCTGCCCTTCAGCACAGCTCAGCTGAAACTGAGTTTCTAGGCTGAAACAAGCCCGGGCTGGGGTGGGATCTTGCACGAGGGGAGCTGTTGGGTTATGTGCTATGGTGCAGAACAGGGACAGAGAGCAGTGGAGAGCTCTAGGAATGGCCCTCAGCCTGCAGCAGCACGAGGGCTGTGTAGGATGCTGTGCACGCTGAGGGGCCGCGTTCCAAATCCGCCCTTAATCCCGCAATGTCCCTGCAGCCCCCACAATACAAACTGGACCCTCGCCTGGCTCGCCTGCTGGGGGTGCACACCCAGACCCGTGCCAGCATCATGCAGGCGCTCTGGCTTTACATCAAGCACAACAAGCTGCAGGACAGTCACGAGAAGGAATACATCAACTGCAACCGCTACTTCCGCCAGGTCAGTCCAGCCCTCTCCTTCGTGTGCCTCTGGGGTGCCCTTGCCCTCTTGTAATCGTGTGGGTCTCTGATGAGAGGAAAGCACCATTTCCATCCTTCAAAGCCAAGAAAAGCGTTTTTTCCTGGCTTGGAGTGGTCGCTGTCCTTCTCCCCATGCTCTGTTGTGCGTCCATCCAGCTTGGCGTGCTCAAAATGGGGCTGAGCAAAACCTTGCTCCTGCCTTAACCCTTTCTGGTGGGTGGCAGGAGCCCCTGACATCGGCAGCTAACGCTCTGCTCTACCCCTGCAGATCTTCAACTGTGTCCGTATGCGCTTCTCTGAGATCCCCATGAAGCTGGCAGGGCTCCTGCAGCACCCAGATCCTATCATCATCAACCACACCATCAGGTAGGGGTTGGAGGAGTGCTGGGCAATGCCACTGGGGGTGGGGATGGACTGCCTGGAGCAATGGGTTCCTCCCTGCTGAGGACGCAGGGCCCCAGGTGCTGCAAGGTGTCCAGCTCAAACCAGCAGTGAGCACAGGTCACTGGGAGGGGAAGAATCAGCCCAACAAGTCTGGGAGCTCCCCGGGGCAGTCGTTTGGATACCAGTATTGCTTTTGGGGGTGGTTGATTTGTTTTTGAGGCTGAAGAGGTTCCCTTAACACCCTGCCTCCTCCCAGTGTGGACCCCAATGACCAGAAGAAGACTGCCTGCTATGACATTGACGTGGAGGTGGATGACCCCCTGAAAGCTCAGATGAGCAACTTCCTGGCTTCCACCACCAACCAGCAGGAGATCGCCTCACTGGATGCCAAGGTGTGAGGATCCCCCCCCTCCAGAGCTCCCCAGTATCTGAGCTGGGGGAGCTCGGTGCCAGCTGTGTGTTGTTTCGGGGGCTTGGCACGAACTCCAGTTCCCACACGGTCACTCACAGCTGTCTCTCACCTTCTGTCATCTCTGCAGATCCATGAGACCATCGAATCCATCAACCAGCTGAAGACACAGCGCGACTTCATGCTGAGCTTCAGCAACAACCCTCAGGATTTCATCCAGGAGTGGATCAAATCGCAGAGGAGGGACCTCAAGGTAAAGTGGGAGGGCAGGGCAGGGCGAGGGGCAGGGAGGCTGAGCAGGAGCCAGCCCTAGGCCTCACCCTCTTCACCCTTATGCTTTGCTTTGCTCAGATCATAACAGATGTGATCGGGAACCCTGAGGAGGAACGGCGAGCTGAGTTCTACCAACAGCCCTGGGCGCAGGAGGCTGTGGGCAGACACATCTTTGCCAAGGTGGGTTCTGTGCTGTGCTGGCGGGGTGCTCCTCTGGGCTGAGATGGCAGCAGGGAGGCTGAAAGCAGGGACTGCTTGTAGAGAAGGAGCTGGTTCTCGGAGAGGGACAGGGCCTGCGCCAAGCCCTGCCTGACCCCCCTCGCCTCCTCCAGGTCCAGCAGCGTCGGCAGGAACTGGAACAAGTGCTTGGGATCCGCCTCACTTAAGAGGCCAGCAGGGCTCAGGAGCTCCTCCTCCTCTCCCTGCTGCCTGAGCCTGACGGTACTTCTTACTGGAATCAAATACAGCACTTGCACAAACCCTACGTGCCTGGAGGGATTTGGAGCCGCTCGCACCCCTGGGCTCCCCTCAGCCAGGAAGCTCTCGCCACAGGCAGAGCAGCAGAGGGTCCCCTGATTCTCCCTGCCCTCAGCCCTGCTGCATTAACACGTCCTTGCTTTTGCATTGCGCCGTTTGCCTCTGCCTGTAGCAACGAATGCAGCCCTCTGCGAGCACGCTCTGCTCTGCCCCGTCCCCTTCTTGCCCTGCCTCTGGCCAAAGCCCTCCTGGCATTGCTGACTGCCCTGCCAGCCCTCCCCACCACCGTGAGGGCAGGCCCAGCCCTGCCCCTTTGCAACCAAAGTTTGTCATTCCAAATGCCAGCCTCTGCTGCTGGTGGCCGATGGTTTTTTGTTTTTTTTTTTTTGCACTATTTTTGTGAACAGGTTTTATAGAAAAAAAAAAAAAAAAAAAAAGAAAAAAAAAGAAGAAAGAAAAAAAGCATTTTGTACAGTGGGTTTGTATTTGATTAATATATTCAGTTCCTCTGACTGCACTCATCACCTCAAACTATGCAGTGATTCATGGTGTTCTCAGCGGGCTCGTTCTGCCCAAACTGTTCTTTTTGTATGTAACTGAGTTTTTTAGCGTTGAGTTCTTGACAATCAGTTGATTACTCCACCCCCTGCTGTTGCTTTACACACCCAGTGACTTGTCCTGTGCTTGATACGAGGTATGGGGGGGGAAGCTCTGTCCCCAGGAGCCTGCGGGCAGCAGGGCCCCCCCTTTAGGGCTCTGAGAACTGGAGATGCTTGGGGCAAGGGGCTGGAGCGTGGGGCCACTGCACTGGGGCCGAGGGGACAGTGCACCACCCACCAGACCCCATTGAAGTGCCTTACCCTGCTGGCCCCGTGCCCACATTTTCCTTGTAGGGCAGCCTGGCTTCCTCTGGGGGGCGGTCACAGGTTGGGGGGGAGGGGGGGGAGGATGGGGAGGGGGGTGTTTACATATTCCCAGGGTGTTTGGCTCAGGGGTGCCTGCTCTGCCTCTTGCGTAACCGTTTTGTCTATTTTGGATTATTTTCTAATAAAACCAGTTAAGCAGCAGTTGTGTGTGGTGGGATTCATTCCAGTGCTGCAGCCCCTGTACCCAAATCAATGCACAGACGTGGGCACAGCAGCACTTTATTAGAGACAAAACAGCCCCCCAGCTCACCCTTACTTCCACAGCTTCTTGATGGACATGTTCTTCTCGCTGTCCTTCTGCATCACCTGGATATAAGCAAGGGACAGTTGGTGCCCAGCACACAGCTCCCATTTCCCCTCAAGTAACTCCACAAACTGCCCTTAAAAGCAACCTCCAGCCCTGCACGAGGAAGGTTCTAGAGCCTTCATCCTCCCCCGAGGAAAGGCAACCTCCTGCACCGAGCACCCCTTCAGCTCTTGTTCAGCCCCAAGTCCTCCCAAACGCTGTCCAGGAGTTTCTGCCTCCCAGAGCTGAGAGGGAGCAGCCAGCAGCTGCTCTGCAGCACTTACCTTGGCAACAGCCATTTCAAAGTCCTCCTGTGTGACGTGCACCCGCCTCTCCCTCAGTGCGTACATGCCAGCTTCTGTGCACACCCCCTGTAAAGAACATGGGCCCACATTGCCCCAGAGCTCCCAAGTGAGGACAGAGAGCACAGTGGAGCCCCCAAGGCTGCTGCAGGACCCAGCTCACCTTCACTTCTGCACCCGATGCCCCTGGCATCAGCTCTGCGATCTTCCTCAGGTTGATGCCACGTGTCAGGTTCATTTTCCGAGAGTGGATTTTGAGGATATCCAGGCGGGCCTGGGGGGGGACAACAGCAGTGAGACAAGGGAGGAAGCCACAGGAATTGTACCCAGATAGGGGATAATGTGGTCCCCTGAGGGAGAGGATCAGCAGGGGACCAAGAGACCCCAGGCCCACTGTGGGGCCACCAACCTCTTCATTGGGAGGGGGGAACTCAATCTTTCTGTCGATGCGGCCGGGGCGCAGCAGAGCCGAGTCCAGGATGTCGATCCGGTTCGTGGCCATGATCACCTGCAGCAGGAGAGCAGCCGCTGTCACCACCATGGTCACCCTGCTGCCATCACGGGGCCAGCAGGACACTGTCCCATCCCCTGGCAGCTCAGGGCTCAACCAGGCTCAGTACCCCCCTACCTTGATGTTCTTGGTGGCCTCGAAACCATCGAGCTGATTGAGGAGCTCCAGCATCGTGCGCTGCACCTCGCTGTCCCCACCAGAGCCACCCTCCAGGCGGGAGGAGCCAATGGAGTCGATCTCATCCATGAAGATGATGGAAGGAGCGTGTTCCCTGGCCATCACAAACAGCTCCCGCACCATGCGGGCACCTGCAGGGAGCAGAGAGCTGAGTCTCACACTGTGCACCCTCAGCCTGCCCAGCACCCCACACAGAACACTCGTCCCCTGCAGGCCAGTTCCCAAAGCCACCCAGCACCATGAGAGCCCTACAGGTCATCCCGGCACAAGAAGCAGCTTCGTGTCACACTGCTTTACCTTCACCGATGAATTTCTGCACCAGCTCGGAGCCCGACACGCGGATGAAGGTGCAGTCAGTGTGATGGGCCACAGCTCTGGCCAGCAAGGTCTTCCCAGTGCCAGGGGGTCCGTAGAGCAGCACGCCCTGAAAGCACCAGGGGGTGAGAGCTCAGCACCGCCGCTGGGTAAGCAGCCAACACCCAGGGAACTCCAGATACGATTTACCTTGGGCTGAGCGATCCCCAGCGCCTCAAAGAGCTCCGGGTGCTTGACGGGCAGCTCAATCACTTCCTTGATCTCCTTTATCTGTTTGTCCAACCCTCCGATCATCTCGTAAGTGGAATCCGGGACCTTCTCCACCATCATCAGAGACACCAGAGGGTCCACTTTGTTGGGCAGGATCTTGTGCAGCGTGTAGCTGTCGTTGCGCAGAGCCACGCGGCAGTTTGGGGTCACCTGCGCTGAGAGCAGAGGGAAGAGCTCAGTGATGGGCCACTGCACGACCCTTCCAAGTAGCCCCACACCAGAGAAGGGGACAATTTGGAGAGAGCCACGATGCCCCTGCCACAGCTCTTAGACACTCACATCATTAATGTCAATGTTCTTGTCAACATCCACCACGAATTTGCCTTCTGGATGCACCTGGAACACAGCAGTTAACACCACTAAACTTATTTCTCCCTAACAGAATCCTGGCTGCATGTCCCAACCACCACACCACGAAGGGGCCCGAAAGCTCAGCCACCACCAAACACAGCCTTCCTACCCTCAGAAGAAAGACCTCTCACTTCACATGTTTCTAATTACTACACCCTCTGCAGAGCTTGTGCTCTTGTGGGGACAAAGGCACAGTTCTATTCCTCACCAGGTTCTATTCCTCACCAGCCAGCTGCTAAGAGGAGCCAGCCCCAGGGCAGCTCAGCTCCGTACCTTCACAAGCACTTTCTTCTTGTCCATGGCTCTCACCACCTCGCCCACATAGGAGCCCTGCTCCTGCAGCAGCTGCAGCTCCTCCCGCAACAGCCGCACTGCAGAGAGAAGGGAACATCAGCAGACAAATGGGGAGACCCAAAGCCCCCACTGAGTGGGCAGCACCCGCAGCCAGGCAGGGAGCCCCTTGTCCCATAGCAGGGCTGGCCAGAGCCTCAGGTAAGGATGCTGAGAGAAATTAAGCTTTACCTTTAGCGTTCAACTCATTCCTCTGCGCTTGCAAGCGCCGCAGATTCTGGCTCTTCTCATTCACTATGAGCTGTGTAAGGAAAGGAGCTTTGCTGAGTTCTCAGCATCCTGCACAGCACTCAAACCAACAAAACACACACACAATAAGCAGGCTCCAGCACGAGAAATTAGGACAGTTATTGTCCTGGGACAAGCAGGACAGGAACACAGCCCTTCACAGCACAACTTGCTCAGCCAAGCCTCACTGCCAATTCTCACAACACACTGGTTGTGGGGAGACCTCACTGCAGGCTTTCAGTACAAAGAAGGAGCTTACAAGCAGAAGGACTGACTTTGTAGTGTCTAATAATGACACGACAAAGAGGAACAGCCTTAAACTAAAAGAAGGGAAGCTCGGGCCAGATGTTAGGAAGAAATTCTTTTCTCAAAGGGCGGTGAGATCCTGGGGCAGCAGGTGGTCCATCCATAGAAGTGCCCAAGGCCAGAATCAGGAGGGGGCACCAGCCCACGGCAGAGGGCTGAAACCGGATGACGTTTAAGATCCTTACAACACAACCGTGCCCCGGCTCACCTGCAGCTCCTCGATCTTGGACAGGTAGTACTGCCGCAGCCCCGTGCCGCCCTTCCCATCGTCCATCTCCATCTGCAGGAGAGCACACTCAGTAAATTCGACCCAGCCCCGTCCCATGGCCGCTCTCCTCCACGCTCTCCCTCCCGCCCGCTCAGTCCCGTGTCCCCACGTCCCCTCCTGCAGCCGCCCCCACCGCCCGCCGGGTCCCGCCGAGTCACGGCGCCCAGCAGGCCGCGATCGGGCCCGATCTCCTCAAAATTTCGCGGCCGGACTCAGACACACCGGAGCCGTGCACCCGCAGCCCGCGAGCACCGCGCGGCCCGGCCGTACCTGCTCGGGGCCGTCCACCGCCATCTTCTCCGCCGGCATCGAAGCCTGGCGCCGCTACTGCCGGCACCAAAGATGGCCACTACTCCACTTCCGCTCCCCGCCCCTCGAGCGCAAGGACGTCACTTCCTGTACGTGAGGGGGAAGACAGCGCATGCGTACTGTGAAGGCTACCAGATTGCGCATGCATAATCTGCTCCTTCGATGCGAAAACTCAAGATGCGCATGCGTAGTACAGAGCAACTCTGCCGGAGTGCGCGTGCGGAACAGTAGTTTTTCCGCCTCCGCCATATTTGTAAGGTCAATACTTGTTTCTTCATTTCATGAAGCGTTGAACGGACGAAAGCAGAACCCAAGCAACTCCTGAGGAACGCACTCGGCCATTCTGCCCCGCTCCCGGGACTGTGTAAATCCCGCAGTGGTTGTTAAACAATGCGGGGCTCCCTTCCTAAGATGGCGGTGAGAGCTGAGCGGAAGCGGAAGTGGAGCGGGCGGCGCGGGGCCCGACGGGACGGCGCTGTGCGCACGAGGAGCTGGCGGAGCTGGGATCGGGTTTGTTGTGTGGTCAGCGGGGAGGTGGAAAGGGGCAGGGAGGCTGCGGGGCGCTGGGGGCTGCGCGGGGTAGCGGGGTTGTCTCGTGATGCCGGGAGAGACTCCTGGGCGGCGTTCACTCCTCTGCTTCCTTAGGTGGGTGCCAGTAAGGGAGAGCAGGTCCCAGCTCTGCAGCCATGGGCAAGAAAAGCAAAGTGGGGAAGAGCCGGCGGGACAAGTTCTACCACCTGGCCAAGGAGACGGGTGAGCACGGCTTCCTCCGGACCCGGCAGAGCAGCGCCTCGGGGCAGCCCCTGACCCCCCCGCCTCCCTCCCGCAGGGTTCCGCTCCCGCTCCGCCTTTAAGCTGCTGCAGCTCAATAGGAAGTTCCAGTTCCTGCAGAAGGCACGAGCGCTGCTGGACCTGTGTGCAGCCCCCGGCGGGTGGTGAGTGCCTTTGGGACTCGTGCTGCCCTGGGACCTCGTTGCAAAGCAGCCCCATTGCTTTCTGTCGTGGCTGCTCTGTGTCAGAGGCCGTGGCAGCACCGACTGGGATTGAGGGCTCTTCTCAGATCTCACAGTGCTTTTGGTCCTCTCTGTTCCTTGCAGGCTGCAGGTGGCTTCCAAATTCATGCCAGTCTCTAGCTTGGTCATTGGTGAGTGAGGTGGTGGGTTGGGAGACACCTGTGACGGGCTGGAACATAGTGTTGATGTGTGTTTTCACTCCTCTTCTTTACATCAGGAGTGGATCTGGTTCCTATCAAGCCCATTCCCAATGTAGTGACTCTGCAGGAGGACATCACCACAGAGAAATGCCGCCAGGTGAGGAGCGGTGTCCCCTGCCCTTTGTGTCACTGCAGCTCTGTAAGGGATGGGGGTATCACTCTGCATGAGTGGGACTCACTGGGGGGTGAAACCAGCGCCAGGGCTGAGCAGATCACTGGGTAGGGAGGTTTGGACGTGAGTGGGGCAGTTGCTTGCTGGATCATGCGGAACGAGAGAGGTCAGTAGAACTAACAGGAGTTCTGTCCCTCAGGCTCTGCGCAAGGAGCTGCAGACATGGAAGGTGGACGTGGTGCTGAATGATGGAGCGCCCAACGTGGGGGCCAGCTGGGTGCACGATGCCTATTCCCAAGGTGGGGGTCATCCAGAGCTGACACGTGGCTTGGTGCAGTTTTGGAGAAGCTGGCACGTCAGCATGCACTGTGAGGCATGGAGCAGGCTGGTGGGGGCAGCAGCAACTCTGCTGACTGCTCTTCTCCACCGCTGCAGCCAACCTGACCCTCATGGCACTGAAACTGGCCTGTGAGTTCCTCTGCAAAGGCGGATGGTTTATCACCAAGGTTTTTCGTTCCCGGGACTACCAGCCTCTTCTCTGGATCTTCCAGCAGTTCTTCCACAAGGTTCAGGCTACCAAGCCACAAGCCTCACGCAATGAGTCTGCTGAGATCTTCGTGGTGTGCCAGGGTGAGCGGCCGTAGGGACTTCTTGTCGCTTCGAGCGCTGAATTGAGGCTTGGGGAAACCCATTGGCCTTTGATTTCTATCACTCCAGGTTATCAGGCTCCAGATAAAATTGACAGCAAGTTCTTTGACCCGAAATATGCCTTCAAGGAGGTGGAGGTTCATGCTAAGTCTGTCAGTGAGCTTGTCAGCAAGAAAAAGCCAAAGGTATGAGGAGAGTGCTCTGCTGGGGTGGGCTGAGTGTTACTCATCAGGGATCTGTCCCATGCTAAGAACCAAGCATGAGAGAGCCTCTGGCTCTATTCCTTTTTCTTTATTTTGCTCATCCTGGCAAACATTCTGATGTTTATGGGACAGATGGACGAAGCTTGCTTTTAGCAGCTGAGTGTGGAAAGCAGAGGTGGATGGTTAAGCAGGCGTTCTGGCAGGTGAAAAGCTGCAGGAGCGTGGTAGCAGGGTGCTGGGCAGGCAACCAGTTTGTTTCACTGTGCACTGTGGCCAAACAAGTAAAAGGAGCTAGGACTTGGTGCCAAAGAGAGTGTAATAAGAAAAGATATGCAGAAAAATGAAAGGTCTGGGGTGTAAGGTGCATGGAGTAGCCAGTATTAGGGAGGTTTATGCATTTAGAAGGTGGTGCAGCGCTGGAGAAATGACAGACAAGTCGTGAGGCTGAGAATGGATCAAACTCTCTCTTGCAACAGCTGGCCACTCGGTTTGTGAGTCTGTGTGGTGTTTTTAGGACACAGAACACTGAAAACTCTGCCAAGCAGCCTCAGCTGGCCGTGGAGCTTCACAAACCCTCACTGTTATCACCTCTATGTTAGGTGAGGCTGTAGGTGGCATCCTAGAGCTGGCCCCGTACTCAGCAGGCAGGTAGGGGCTGTTGTTCCTGGGTTGCGTAGGCATGTTTATGTAGGCTGCTGCAACAACGTGTGATTAGATTGAATTGTTAACATCTGGGAGATGATTGAAGCTGTCTTGTGCCTTGCTGTGGCTTAAACAATGCCTTCCTCCTGTAGGCTGAAGGCTATGCAGATGGTGACACCACTCTCTACCACCGCTTCACCCTGATGGACTTCCTCAAGGCTCCCAACCCTGTGGACTTCCTCTCCAAGGCCAACGAGGTGAGTGCCTGTGAGACAGACTTTGGTGGCCCCAGAAACAGATCTGCACGAGCACAGAGCCGTGAGAAGGGCGTCCTGCAGTGGTCCTGGTCCTGTTCATGTGGAAAGAAGGCAGGACAAAAGCAGGGACTCAGAAGTCACAGTCTCATCGCTCTTCATCCAGATCACGCTGGGGGATGGAGAGCTGGAGAATCACAGTTCCACCACAGAGGAGCTGCGTCAGTGCTGCAAGGACATCCGTGTGCTGGGGCGTAAGGAGCTCAGGTACTGGGGGAAGTGGGCAAGGGGCAATGCATCACGCTGGGCCTAGAGGGGTGATTCTAACAGGTTTTTCCTTGCATAGAGCCTTGCTGAACTGGAGGACAAAACTGAGGCGATTCTTGACCAAAAAGCTGAAAGAGCAGGCGAAGGAGCTGGATATCAAGTAAGAGCAGCACAGCTGCCCCATGGCACCAGTAGTAGGAAGGGGCTGCCACCAGGAAAGGTTCTGTGACCTCTGTCCTTTTGGCAGCCTGAGCTCTGGCGAAGAGGAGGAAGGCCGGGAGGAGGAGGAGGAGACATCACCAAAAGCTGCAGCTGATGAGGTGGCGAAAGAGGAAGAGGAGGAGGTAGAGCTGGCATTAGCGGAGATGAAGGCCAAGGAGCTGGCAGAGCTGAAAAGGTAAAAGCAGCTCAGCCAAGGAGAAATGGGGGATTGTTGTGCTAAAGTTGCATGAGGGGTCTGGGCAGTGGTGTCAGGGTCTGCCTGTCTGTTCATAGGGGATTGGGTCTGGGGTTCTTGGGGTCCTCTGCTTCTCCAAGCTGATGTGGGCTCTCATTGCCCCAAAACTGGGACCCCCTCACGGTGGAGTGACTCCTGCTGTGCCCTTCATCCTCAGAGAGATAAGGCCCGAGTGTGGCAGTGGATGAACTGCTGGGAGTGCAGCCTCATTCCTTTGCCTTTTTCTTTTCTCCAGGAAAAAGAAGAAAATCCTGAAGGAGCAGCGGAAGCAGCGCGAGCGCGTGGAGCTGAAGATGGACCTCCCTGGCGTCTCCATCGCTGACGATGGCGATACCAGCATGTTCTCCCTCCAGACCATCCAGAGGACCCAGGTGTGTGGTTGGGGCAGCCCAGGCTCCCGGAGCCACAATGGTGGGACAGATGTGGGCACGTGGCAGGCAGGCTTAAACTCTTGACTCTGCTGTCCCTGTACTGCAGCTGCTGAACGAGGTGGCCCGGGGAGACATGGCGTCAGCAGATGCCCTGCTGGAGATGAGACCTGGGGATGATGACATCTGTGTCTCAGATGCAGATGATGAGGATGATGTGTCCCTGGCCAGCGATTTGGACCCAGAGGAGCTGGTTGAGATAGAGGCCCGTCAGCGCCGGCTGGAGCGCGAGAGACGAGAGCAGGGTGTGAAGAGGTGAGAGCTGGGCTGGGCTGGGCTCAGGACAGGACAGGAGCTCCCTTAAGAGCAAATGCAGAGACTGGCCTTTGGCACTGGTCCTGCTGCTGTCACAGGGAGAAGCCTAAGGTGGAAGAGGAGGAGGATGAGGAGGAGGAAGAGGAGAATCCTCTGCTGGTGCCTCTGGAGGAGAAGTCAGTGCTGCAGGAGCGGCAGACCAGCCTGTGGTTTGGGAAGGTGAGTTCCAGCGTGTCAGAAATGAAATGCTAGGGCAGCCTCAGCCCCAACAGATCCCCCTGTGCCCCCTGACCCACTGCTCCCTGTCTCCAGGATGCTTTTGCTGGCATTGAGGATGATGCAGATGAGGACCTGGAGCTGGGGCAGTCACAAATGTTGGCTGAAAGACAGCGTGAGTCCCAGACAGGTTAGTGGGGGCTGCATTGCAGAGGGGACACAGAAGGACAGCCTCGTATCCCTTTCTGGGGCACAGGGTCAAACTGCAATGTGAACACTGCTCTGAGCAGGCAGAGATGTTCAGAAGTTGCTTTCCTGTCTGTATTATTGCACAGTTAATGAATCAGCACTGGTGCAGCATTAACGAGCTGTGTCTCTATGGGATAGGCTTGCAGTGGGGCATGCCTCTCATCCTCTGGTTCCTTTTTCCCAGGCAAAACAAAGAAGAAGGGACAGAAGAAGAAGGTTCCCCAGGAGGATGCTGTAGCTGAGCCCCAGGCTGCAGCAGAAACAGGAGCTGACACTGCTGAAGCAGGGGCTGAGCAGAGCAGTGATGACGACAGCAGCAGCGATGAGGAAGGGTGAGGTGCAGACTGGCTGTTTTGCTGTGGTGGAGAGCAGGGAGGTGAGGACACTGACTGCTCTCTTCTCCTCCTCGCAGCCCACCAGCACCAGTGGGGAGAAAGCGGGGCCTGGTTGAGCCATGTGGCTTCGAGGTGGTGCCCATTGAGGACCCAGGTGAGTGGAGAGTGCTGTGTATTCCAGGTGATGTCATGTGGGTCTCTTTTTGGTGAAGGAGGGTCCGACCCTTCACTGGGGTGGGAGGGCTGCTTGTTGCTCTCTGGATTTGGGGCTGTTTGCCAAGCTTTAATCTCTCTGTGTGCTGCAGTGAAGAAGGCACGTGTCCTGGATGCAGAGGGCCTTGCACTTGGCTCCATCATTGCCACCTCCAAAAAGGCCAAACGGGACTTCATTGATGATTCTTTTAACAGGTACGTGCAGCTGTGGGTGCTGGAGGGGAAACAGAATTCATTCTCCTCCTGAGAGTAGATTTAGTCTACGTATTAGGAAGAAATGCTTGACTGTGAGGGTGGTGGGACGCTGGAACAGGTTACCCAGCGAGGTTGTGGATGCCCCTCCCTGTAAGCATTCAAGGCTGGATGGGGCTGTGAGCAACCCGGTCTAGAGGCAAGTGTCCCTGCCTATAGCAGGGGGTTGGAAGTAGGTGATCTTAAGGGTCCCTTCCAACCCAAACCATTCTATGGTAGGTGTATCAAGGGACTTGGCTGCGACCCCACAGTTCACCTGGTTTCCCCTTTCTTGCAGATATTCCTTCAATGAGGAGGAAGGAGAGCTGCCAGAGTGGTTCACCGAGGAGGAGAAGCAGCACCGGCGCAAGCAGATCCCCCTGGACAGACAGACAGTGGAGGAATATCGGCAGCGCTGGCGCCAAATCAACGCCCGCCCCATCAAGAAGGTGGCAGAGGCCAAAGCTCGGAAGAAGCGGCGGGTGAGTGGCGCTGTGCTGCTGCCTTGGGTGCTTGGTCCCCAGCTCTGCTCCCCGTTGTCTCTGACCCTTTGCTGTCCCCACAGATGCTGAAGAAAATGGAGCAGATGAAGAAGAAAGCGGAGGCCGTGGTGAGCACGGTGGATATCTCGGAGCGGGAGAAGGTGGCCCAGCTGCGGCGGTGAGTGGTGAAGCTGGGACCCAGATCCTTTGTGCTCGCAAAACCCCATCCTGCAGGGCGTGTTGAACCAGCTGGGTTGGGTATGGGGTGGGCTGAGGGGTGGGAGAGCCCCATCTTGGGGCACAGATGAGACCTGATACTGGTCTGGAGATGTGTGCCAAAGCCGCTTCCTGCAGCAGTCCCTCTCTGAGGATCTGTGCCATCTTTCCCTTCTTCCTGCAGCATCTACAAGAAGGCTGGGCTGGGCAAGGAGAAGCGGCAGGTCACCTACCTGGTGGCTAAGAAGGGTGTAGGACCCCGGGTGCGCCGCCCCCCCGGAGTCAAGGGGCAGTTCAAGGTCGTCGACAGCCGCCTGAAGAAGGATGTGAGGGCTCAGAAACGCAAAGAGCAGAAGAAACGCCGCAAGTGACGTGGGAGCAGCTCCGGTGGGGGACCTGGTTTGGGGCACCGGGCAGAGCTGACTCCTGCCCTCCCAACTCCACCTCTCAACTCGACCTGCTGCTTCCCCAGTGCGGGAAAAGGGCTGGGACTGAGCCCCACCGGTGCCTTCATGTGACATCACCTCCTGTCCTGCTGTGGGGCACCGAGAGTTGATTTGACCTCAGCCCTGTAGGGTTGATCTCGTGCCTGTGCTGGCCTGTGGGGCTGCACCTCCAGGTTTGTCACTTGCTGGTTCTGTTGGGATGCTGCTCGGACTGTTGCACTGCAGAGATGGCATGGGCATCCTGTCAGCCTTTGCTGTCCCCACGCTGGTGACAAAATGGCCATGACTAAAGTTGTGGAGCTGTGGGTGCTGGGTGGTGTTTGGCCTTCACAGAACTCTTCATTTATGACAGAAATAAACTCTCTTCTGAGGATGGTGTGGGCTGTGTCCCGCATCTTGGCAAGTTGAGGAGCTGCTACCCTCCTTTCCTCACCTCAGCACATCTCAGTTTATCTCTGGCTGAACCTGAACTGATTCACCCTACAGCCAGCAGCCCAGCACAGCCCTCAGCCGGCCCCATCACCCTCTCCAAGGGGGGAACGCAGCATATAAAGAGAGAAAAGGAAATACTTAAGAAAATACTCTTTATTTAGACCCAGGGCAGTGGCTGGAGGGACTGTGGCCTCTCTTCTCCTTTAATCATCACTCAGATATGTCGTAGCATTATCCTCAGGCACCTGCACTGTTAGTGGAAGGGGAGGGGGCCAGGGGCTCTGTGCACAATGCTGTCCCCATAAAATCAGGGCAGGGGGTGCAGAGCAGTGAGTTGTCCCTGTCCCCAGTGTGCCTCAGCTGTGGCTGCACTGGATGTTGGTAGGGCAGGAGCTGCACGGGATGGGGAGAGGCTGCCGAGTTGTGCAGTGGTGCTGGTGGAGCTGCCCCCTGTAGGGCCGGTGGGAGCAGAGACCTTGGGCTGTCCTGGTTCTTGGCTGAGGGAATCAAGGTGCACAGATGGGATCAGCTGCTAGATGTGGAACTCCTCTAGAAATTCTCCTTTGCCTGGCTGTCAGCCTCTTCAAAACAAAATAGAGGTGTGTTATGAGAGGAGAGCCGCTCTGCCCCGTCCTCCAGTTCCTGTCCCTGGGGTCCTGATGAAGGGATGGCCCCTCAGCCCCTACCTGAGCTGCAAGGAGCGCTGTAGGCAGCATCCGTGCGGTCACCTGCAGCAGGAGCAGGGAAATGGGCTCAATGAGCTGCTCCCATTAACGAGCCACAGCTCGTCAGTGTGAACAGTGTCTGGTTTGGGGCTCCAGGGCAGCTCACCTGTCTCATAGTAGTCATACAGCATCACGGTAGCAGGCTGGAGGTTCCTCACTGGGAAGTCCTGTGTGGCTGCAAAGCTGAAGGTCTCCTCCTCCTTTGTCAGCTGGGGGATAACCCGAGGGTGAGGCACAGCCACGTCCCACCATCCCAGTGTCATCCCTGTGCTCGCAGCACTGCTGCTATTGTCACCCATCTCACCTGATCCAGGTAAATGGTCACCTGGTCACTCTGCACCTCCACCTTCTTCACCAGTTTCTGCCTCTTCAGCTGGGGAATGGGGAGAGCAGGGCTCAGCACCATGTGGGCAACCCTCTGTCCCCGTGCTGGGTCCCAGTGTGCAGAAGGACAGCAGGGACCTCTCACCTCTACCACTGAGCTCTTGTCTGGGATGTAGCCTGATGGCAACTTGGCCTCGATGACAACCATGTTGGTGGCAGCACGGTTTCCAGTGTATCTGGAAAAGGAAAGGCAGAGCCTCGCATTGAGGCTGGGGGCTGTTTGGCCCCCACCAAACCCTCGGGGTGACCCCAAACCGTACCGTGCCCGGAGGAGGAGGCGGAAGTGGGTGCTGGCATCACTTGTGCACGTTTTGGGTTCTGTCTCTACACTGAGGTCAAACGTCCCTGCGCTGGGAGGCGGTGGCATGTTGTAGCGCAGTGTCACCTGGTGTGAAACAGGAGGTTAAGGCCACCTGGAAGGTGACACGCATGCATAGAGACCCCGTGCTGTACCCACCTGCACCAGAGCACAGCCCTGCCCGTGGGTTTTCACCCCGTACAGCCCTGGCAGATCATGCAGGGCTGCCTGCTGCAGCACCAGTCTGTTGCTGGCTTCCAGCATGAAGTCCTGCTTGGAGCCCGTCGGGGCTGTCACCGTCACTGCTAAGTCCCCGTTGTCGCTGTATGTCAGGGTGGCATACTTGGCCAAGGCTTGCAGGGCCACCACAGTGTCCTAGGCAAGAAGCACCGAGTTGGGGTCACCCCAAGTTGCAGCTGGTGGCATCCCAGCCCTGTGCTGGGAGAACCTGTGGTGGTACCTGGGTGGAAGCAAAGCCTCCGTAGGGGTTTTGCTGTTTGCTGAGCCAGCGGACGATCTGGGAGGCTTTGGCCAGGTCAGCACGGGACACCTGGGGCTGGGTCAGGAATGCCAGGAGGACGTAAGCCGTCATCTCCACCTCTGCTGGCGCAGCCTCAGCCCAGGGGGACTCGGTGGATAGAGCTTTCTCCTTCCTCTTCCAGAAGAGCAGCCCCTCTGGGAAGAAAGGGTGGGAGGGAAGTCCCCAGTTCCCAGCTCAGGGTGGGAGTCCCAGGTGGGATGGAGTGGCTCAGAGGTACCTGTGCTGGTGCCACGCTGCAGCAAGCTCTGCAGCCGGGCTTGCTGCTGCTCCTCACGCCCTGCCAGTCCACAAACATATGCCAGCAGTGCCTCGGTGTAGAGGTTGTCAGTGCTTGACGTCTCCAAGCATTTCAGGGCTGAGCTCACTGTTGGGTCCTGCAGTGGAAAAGGGGACACTGAGCAGCCAGGAACGCCCCAGGGATGTGGACATCACCCAAAGGAGGATTTCTGCCCAGTTACAGCAGCATGGCCTGGTGCATCCAGACCTTAGTGCTGGGCTGGTCCCATGTGCCAGCACCTGACCCCAACCCCACAGGGTTATCCTCACCGTTGGGGACATCCCCAGTTCCAGCAGCGCAGCCGTGACATAAGCAGACAGCGAGAGCTCATCCGATACACCACCCTGCAAAGAGACAGCGAGACAGCTTCGTCCATGCCACCTCCAGCCACGTGTCCCCACGTCACCCCGTCCCACCCTGTTCTCACCTGCAGGGCGTTATTGAAGAGCTTGCCCACGCTGCGGAAGCATCCTGACTCCTGCTGCTGCTTCTGCAACCAGTGCTGTGCGTCCGTGATGTGCCGCTCCTCGATGGCCACAAAGGCTCTCGCTTGCCCGAAGGACTTGAGGACGAATGCTGTCAACCTGCAAGGTGTCAGAGGAAGGGCAGCATGGGGGACGAATGGGGATTTGGTGGCAAGAGGAGGTGATGGGGATGGCACCGCGCTGCCCCACGCCATGAGGACCCTCACCAGGTGTTGCCGCTCTCATCTCCCTCCCCAAAAGCGCTGTAAGAGCCGTCGCTGTGTTTGTAGAGCAGCTCTCGTTGGTAGCCTGCGTGGAGATGGGGATGGCTATTGGCACATCTGCCTCTGGGGGGACCCTAGAGGATGCCCACCCCTGTGTGCAGGTATGAAATGGGGAGGGAGGCAGGGGGGCCTGCTGGTAGCAGGGAGGTCGGGAGGAGGACGCTGACCGCTCTGCAGGAAGCCCTGCGCCTTGGCACGGATGTCGGAGTTCATCTGCCCGCTCTTCTCCAGGTACTGCTGGATGTAGATGTTGGGGGCGAAGCGCACCATGTTCTGCTCCCCGCAGCCGTAGGGCATGGCCAGGAGGCGGTCCACGTTCTGCAGCGCGTTGCCCATGATGTCGCCTGCGTGCACCCCGTACCCCATCCCATCAATTTGGGGGCATCTCACTTCCAGCTGAGACTTCTGCACCTCGTTTCCATCCCTTACCCATCACACTGACGTGAGCTCGCTGGGAGCCCTCCAAGATGTTGGCAGGAAGCTCTAGGGACACTTCTTCAGAGGCTGTGAGGATGGAGGGTGATGGCAATGGGGCAGCAGTGGACATGGCCTCACATCACCCTCGTCCACCCCTTGATGCTCCATCCCTCTATGGACTCCATGAGCCAAGTGACCCTTGTCCATGTTTCCTCCAGCTTGGTGTCCCTCATGCCAGCAGCCCCATGTCCCCACAGTGGTACCAGATGCTCCTACCTTCCTTGCAGAGCAGGGAGCTGTGTGCCTTCTCCACCAGGATGCCACCGGGCTGTAGGAAGCAACACGTGGTCAATTCTGTGACCTTCATGTCCCCACGTCCCCCAGGGCCGTCCCTGCAGTGACACTTGGTGCTGTCCCACTCCCAAGATGATGTGATGGGATCTTCCCATTGCACCCCCAGGTCTGCTCAGACCCCATCCCTCTTTCATCCCTCGTAACCCGTCTGACCTGCACCAGTAATGGCTTTATCACAGTGTCCACGCGTCCCTGGGCTGGCACCACAGGCTTCTCATTGCCACAGAGCTCCTCAGAGCTTATGGCCTCGGTGCTGATGGTGATGTTCACCTCCCCTGCAATGCCAGTGCGACATCCAGTCACCACAGAGCCCCCCAGCCTCCACTGCAGCCCCATGGGCTTTGAATGGAGTTGGCTGGGTTGGGATGAGAGGTGATGGGGAAAGGATAAATGGAGCAGAGAAGAGCTTTGCAGATGGCATCATGTTTGCTGACACCCTCCCTGTCCACCCCGCTGTGCCAGGTGTTCTTCAAGTGGCAGGGCAGGGGATCCAAGCACCCATACCCAGGTTGGTGGCCTTCACGTCCCACCGGAACGTCTTGGCTTCATCTGCACAGACACAGCTGCTGTACGCTGCACCTGCAACTGCTGACACCTCCAGCTCTGCCGAGTCCGCCAGTGTCACCTCGACCTGCAGACCCCAACAATGTCAGCCACCTACCAGGGCACAGCCCCCAGCCCCCTGCCCACCTCACTCACCCGTAGGCACTGCCGCAGGTAATTGAAGACGGTGGCAACCAGCGAGAAGGCTTCACCACGGATCACAGCATAGGGCAGAGCCAGGTCCACAAAGAAGGGCTTGAAGACTGTGAGGGTGGTGGCAGGGGCCAGCCCCAAGCCCACAGGTGCTGTGCAGAACATCTCAGCTTTCCATTCCGTGATGGCATCAGGCACCGTCATCACCATCTCTGCAGAGCCCTCCTCCCTGCAGGACAGAGCATCCAGAGGCCGCCAAGTGTCACCCACTGGTGGTATCTGGGCTGGTTCTCTCCACCGAGGAGGAGAAGCCATCCTGGGGGCTCTCCCCATTCCCACTCACCCCACAGGCACCAGATCCCACAACCATGTCTCTGGGAAATGAACCCGGGGAGCTGGAGGCTCTTCCTCGTTGCTGGCAGCATGTGGGACGCTAGCTAACATGGGTATCCTGCTTTCCACCATGGGCATATGCATACCTCTTCTGACATCAGGCCCGGCATTGCCTAGAAATAGTAGAGCACAAATGAGGTTTCCGTCGGTTTCTGTCACCTCCACCAGGGCTGGACATATGCAGAAAGTGGACAAAAGCAGCTAACATCCCCTCAACCAAGAACTGAGCCAGCATGGAAGCCCTGTCAGACAGCATTTCCCATCCCACTAACAGTGGGGACACAAGCCTAGCCCCTCCTGTGTGACATGCTTTTTGAAGATCATAGAATCATAGAATGGCTTAGGTTGGAAGGGACCCTAAAGATTGCACAACTGTGGAATGACAGTGTGGTTGGGCTGGAAGGGACCTTAAACATCACAGAACCACGGAATCATGGCATGGTTGAGTTGGAAGGGATCTTAAAGATCATAGAACCATGGAATCATGGCATGGTTGAGTTGGAAGGGATCTCAAAGGCCCACCAGCCCCAAATCATGCACAGGCTGGCTCTCCCCCCCCAGATCAGGCTGCCCATGGCCCCATCCAGCCTTGAATGTCTTCCAGGCATGCTGGCAGGACGCTCACCTGGCACACCCAGCGTAAAGTACTGAGGCGTGTAATACTCTTTGCAATCATCCCTTGTCTTAGCATTGGTGAGAAGCTTCAGTGCTGCATTCTGCGAAAAAAAGAAGAGATTGTCCATCTCCAAAACCAGTGGGATGAGTATCCCCCCCTGAGCAGTGAACGGTCGTGGGGCAGTGCTGAGCTTCCCAGGCACCCTGCACAAACCATGGTTGGCTCTTGGCGATAAGGCTCAAGGCTTTACCTGAAATAACTTGGAGGGGTTCATCTGGATACTGTCCCAGTAAGGTGGTAAAATAAATCTCCTTGAACGGCGCACATCTGCAGGCTCCCAGGGGAAGCGGTGATGGTACCAGCCACAGGGCGATGGGTCTTGAATTCTTCCAGGATAACTGAAACTGGGGAGCACTTTGTAGATCTGGGAATAAAGATATATATTAGGCACAGAACCATGCCACCATCACACCCTACAAGGGGCTGAATGATCTACTGCATGTCACCTCCTCTTCCATCCTGCTTGATCCGTGGTGCTGTTAAAGGGGAAAAAGTCACCTTGGGACTGCCTACCTCCGCCGCGGTGAGCTCAGCCTCGGGCTTCAGGAGCAGCACACTACGATCCACGGCACGGATGGCACATAAGGAGCCTGGGGCTGCCTCCAACTCCATCTTCAGCGCTGAACCAGGCAGCGCCCGCTCCTTGGAAAAGGCCATTTTCACCTGGGGGAGGAGGGACAGGGGAAGGATAAGGATCCGTGGATGTGGAGGTCTTCTTGGAGCAGCATGGCATGGATAAAATCAAGCTGAAGGTTTAGGGGATCGGGGTGTGGGTTGGAGAGGCTGTGATGCTGTGACACATCTGGAGCAGGGTGAGGCAATGGGGGTGATTTCACAACTCGCCTTGTTGGGGAGGCAGTTGAGCATGTTGAGCTTGGTGCTGCCAGCCAGCATCTCGCCGTTGGGGAGCACTGCATAGCACAGCACCGTGGCTGTGGGAGCCAGCTCAGGGCTGATGGGCAGCTCCAGGGAGAAGGAGCCTCTCAATCCTGGGACAAAGAGGGAAATCAGGTCCAGGCACAGGCCTCAAAGCCCTACGCAGCCCATCCATCTGCAGGACCCACCTGCACTCAAAGGCAGCTCCTTCCTGAGGATGTTGGCGATGGTCCCCTTGGCCAGGACCTGCAAAAGAGGAAGTGGGAATGGCCAAGTCAGAGCCATACCCTGTTGGAGGTTGGATCTAAGGGCGAGAGTGTTGGGGTGGTTTGGAAGTTGCCCAGTCTTCAGCCCCAACAAAGACTCCTATTTGCAAGTAGACATACACTGGTCCATTAGTCTGGCCAAGGGAGACCAACCACAGCCTGGCCCTCAGGGACACAGCCGTGCACTTGTGTGCAGATCAGGAATCCATGCCCTCACACCTGCTGCCCTTCCTCCCCAGGTGAAGGCTCACCAGGAAGACCACATCCAGGCTCTGCAGCTCGCTCCCCAGGGCCTCCTTGTTGAGGATATAATCCACCTGGAGCTGCTCGAGCTGGCTGCAGGACAGCTTGCCCTTCAGCCGGTGGATGTGCAGAAAGCTCTGGCTCTTCGAAAAGAAGGGTTGGAGGTTCAAATGAGCTCTGTTGAATGTGGGCGATGAGGCACCATTCTGGCTGTCAGCCGACGTGTTGACTTCACCCTGAGGGATGAGGGTGGAACTGATACAGGCTGTTGGTTTGGCTTGGAGAAGGCTCCCAGCTTTGTAAAAATAGGGAAAGCCACCGAGAAGCCACCAAAGGGTGACGCAAGTTACTCACAACCAGTCTGACTGTTTCAGTCCAACCGGAGGTGTCCAGCTCAAAGGAGGCTCTCCCAGATTCATCCGTCAGGAAGCTGTGTCTCTTATTGTTAACAAGGAGCACAAGCTGCTGCCCACCTGCGGCAGAGCTGTCTGCCCTCTTCAGATGCATCTGCAGGAAGGAAAGGTGAGAGGCGTGCATTGGGCTGGAGCCGCAGGTGGGGAGTGGGGCAGCCAGAAACCCCCATTACCGTCCCAGTGTAGGGCAGCCCACGCTTGTAGAAGTCATCAGTGTTTTCAAAGGTGACTGTGAAGATTTTCTCCAAAACGTTGCAGGTCTTGGTGTTGTTCATCTCCACCCCTGTGGAGAAGGAGCAGGGAGACAAGTGTGTCTTGGGGACACAGGGCACAGAACAGCCTGAGCCTGATTCCTACACACCTGTACCTCTAAGTCACAGCTTTGCTCATGGGCTTCCCTGGAGAGCCTGATACCTCCATGCTGTGTGTATTTGGGTACAAACAGGGACGAAGGCAAAAACACTCCCACCAGCACCCCTACCTGTCCCCTCCTCCACCAGTGACGCCTTCACTTGGAATTCCTTCCGCAGCCTGTAGTTGCTCAGGTTGAAGGAAGACATCAAGACCTCTGTTGAAAAGCAGCCGTTCTTCTCGGTCTGGAAGGAGGGAGTCAGCCACACTCATCAGCACTGCAATGGCCTTTCCCAATCTCACCCGTGCTCCCAGCTTTGCTCACCTGCCCGCCAACCTCCGTGCAGATATCCTTGCTTTGCTCAAGAAGATATGGGTAGGTTCTGAAATTCCAGGGCTGGCACAAGGTAGCATGGACCTTCCCCTGGACAGGCTTCCCATAGGTGTATCTGTGGGGCAGAGGGTGGTGAGGGTGTGAAGGGTCCTCCATCCATCCCCTCCACATTACCACGACTTGGGCTCACCGTCCACAGATCTGCAGCTGGAACTTCTCATCCTTCACCCACACGCTGGGGGGAAGATCAATGGTGACCTCGAATTTGGGCAGCACTGGTGGAGAAGAGAGGCGAGAGCGGGGTTGTGACTCCCAGCACAAGGACAGGAGGTGGCATGGGGACGTGCCAAGACGGGGCTCCCACCCTCCATGCACCTCCCATCCCCACACACCGTATTCCTCCACGCTGAAGGAGTGAGTCTTCCTCTCCACGTGAATGGTGTATGTGCCCAACGCCGGCTCCGCAGCCAATGGGAGGGACAGGTCCACGATGCCCTGCCGTGGGCTCACATCTCTCCACTGTGCGATGCGGTTTCCTCTGGGATCCTTTGCATGGTGACAAAAAGTTTAGGTTTCTCCTCTCCCAGCTGTGCCCCCCTTCCCGAGCCCAACCTGGAGCTCTCCCACACTGACCTTCAGGAAGACGAGGGGCAGCTGGAAGGCAAAGAGGAGATGGTTAGAGGGGAAATTCAATGGGTCTCAGAAGGGTGGGGACATCTATGAAGCCACAGGAAAAGCACACTGAGAAAATTAGGAAAAAATTCTTCTCCAAAAGAGATGTGAGGGACTGGAACGGCTGAGGAAGTGATGGAATCGCTGTCCCTGGAGGTGTTCAAGAAACACGGCACTGAGGGACACAGCTGGTGGGCATGGTGGAGAAAGGTTGGCTTAGACTTGGAGATCTTAGAGGTCTTTTCCAACTTTTATGGTTCTATGCTTCTATTTTCGGCTGTGAAGTTCCCTCCTTGTGTTGTGTTTCGGGGTTGATGATGAGCCTGTGGATGGCTTGGGATGGGCTGAGCCCTGCAGCATGGGGAGGTGGCATCTCCCAGTGCCTTTGCCTTCGACATTTCCTCTGGGAACCTTTTGCCCTTCCATTGACACGACTGATTGCTCAGGAGCACCTGACTGAACTAACCTGCAGTTCTGGTGTCCCGTGATCCTATCGATATCAATAGCACTTTCCCTGCTTCCTACTCACTGCTCCTACATCTCTCAATGAAATTGGGAACATTGCCATGTCACGTGTGCAGTTCTGCTTCCTCCCTTCTTGCCTCGATGGATGACACAACACATTCCTGGCTCAGGGTACTCAGCAGCTCTGTTGGCTGGGACAGAACTCCCACTGGCTGATCCCCACGCCTCTGCCACAGACAGAAGGACCGAGGTCACCTCCCCCTGTCCTCAACCCTTCTCTCACCTTCTTGTCACTGGCAACGAAGTCTTTATCCAAAGAGACAATCCGAAATTTCACTGGGAAGAACAAAGCAGAAGTGAGTGGTGGGTTCACCTCCAAAGGAAGATGGATGGAAACCCACTCTGAGCCCTGCAGCGGGGCTGGATTCCATCCCAGCCCTCACCTTGCTGTCCGGGCTTGTAGACAGCCTTGTCTGTCTGTACGAAGATGCCAGGCTCCAGGACTTTCAGCATCACACTCTTCCTGGTGGTATTCAGGGACTCTCCTTGGATGGAGACGTACAGATGAGCAATTTCCTCATTCCCCTTGGAGGGGGCTGGAGCCTAGCGAGGAGAAATGCCACAAGTCTGTCAAGGCTCACAGATATTTTGCCTGTTTTCCCCTACCAAAAGCTAAGGAAATCAGCCCAGCTCCCATCCATTTCTCCATGGAGCTGGAGGCAATGGGATGCACAAGGCGTCCTGGGGTGAAACTCACAGGGAAGGTGACGTTCAAAAGCAGCTGAGGTTCCTCAACCTTCCTCTCTAGCAGGGTGATGTTTCCAGCCTCGCCTGCTCTCTGCAGCTGGATGGTCACCTGGGTGGGCTGGTGGACATTGCTGAGATGCACCCACAGCGTTGCTGAGTATGGGTGGTAAAACACAGCTGGGCACGTCACCACGTAGTGCCTGGAAAGGAGAATCGTAGAATCATTAAGGTTGGAAAAAAAACCCTAAGATCGTCAAGTCTCAACTCCTCCTTTCCACGTCCACTCATAGAATCCCAGAATCATTAAGGCTGGAAAAGATCTCTTAGATCATCTTGTCCAACACTCTACCAGCAGCTGATATTGCTTGCTAAACCACATCCCTAAGTATGCCCCATGTCCCATGTGGCAGCCAGGAGCACATTCTGAGACAGTCCTCATGGGGTGACACCAGCAATAAACCAGAACCAGCAGCCCCAAAATCTTCCAGGTGTCATAACCTTGATGCTCATGGCAGGGACAACACACTGCCCCAAGCATTCCCTCCATGAACAGCCAAGGAACCGAGACTAAATGTCCCCCCAACAGATACAGACAGACAGACGGACACGAAAAGGGCCTACAGTGCATCAGATGCTCCAGTTGTGAGGTGGAGGATGAGAAGCAGCAGCCAGGTCAGGGCTGCTGGCGACCTCATGCTGTTGGATGTCAGGGATGGGTGAAGTCTTCTGTAGCTGTTGAGCGGCTGTAGAGCTGTGCCTGATCTGCTACAAGCTCTGAAATGAGAGTTTCACTTTTCCCAGTCGAGCAACAAGGCTTGGGATGAGCAGCCAGTGTGGACCTGCAGATATAATCAGGGCAATGTTTGCCATCCTGGGTTCAAGGCCATGATGGATTTTTGCAATCTGAGATGTTCCCGTGGGCTGGAGAGGCTCAGAACCAGGGGGCAGGACCTTCCTACACTGCTTTGCTGGGAAGTGATGATAGGAGGGAGCAGGGCCACGTTCTCAAAATGAAATTAGGCAGTACAGCGTGTGAGCCAATGGCAATTTCTCAGAAGGGTTTGTTTCCAGGTCTTTCCAGTTTTCCCAAACAATAGAATTCGGGCTGCCTTTTTGCCACATTTCCTCCAATCCCATCGAAACAGGCGGTAGCACTGGAAGCCAGGATGGAGATGAGCCATTTTCCATGGGCTCCCCACTGTCCTTGAAGAAACAAGGGGGGGAGTGTGACTGCACGTTGGCCCCCAGCCCATCCATCCACCCCCGGATGTGGGTGTGGGTCAGTGTCCTACCGTACAGCATGGCATGATGTGACAGCGAGCTCAGGGCCATCCCATAAACCATCTGAGGCATGGGGGTGGGATAAAGGAGGGGACCGTAGACAGCAAGGCCATGAGCAGATCGATATGAGGCCCTCTGCCTCCCTGATCTGTCCCCGGGGGGAAATACTGCAGGGAGGATTTGTCACTTGGGGATGCAGGTGTTGCCACCCATGCAACAAACACTCTTTCAGTTCTAGTTCCAGTTTTTTATTTGGCAAAACAAAGTGAACAGTGAATGCAAATGAACTACGGCCCCTTTTATGTATCGTTAAACAGGACAGGAACACTGAAACCCAAGAACAAAAAGTGCCAGCCCTTAGGGATGACTCTGGCCAGGGATGCTGGGAAAGAGCCCGAAGACAAGGAGCTTTCTTGCAGGAAAAACCTTTTGCTGCTTCTATTTCCTCTCTTGCATTTTTCTTAATATTCCAGCCTGGCAGAGCAGGAACAGCCCAGACCATCCTCCCCACGTCCAGCCATTGCTCCTGGCTCAAATCTCAGGCATGCATTGATCCCCAGGTTTTTTGCCTTTTTTTCCAGGAATTGCACTGGTGTCAGCTCAAGGGCAACCATGCGGGCAGCAGAGCAGATGTCCCCCATCGGCCGCTGATGCACACAGGGTGAGGGAGCTGCCAGGCAGGAGCAGGGACTGCAAGCGGCTTTTGTAGTCCCCATCCCAACCTCATTGCTGAAGGCTCCAGGTAGGCATGGGGGGTGAAGAAGCAGGAATGGGCAGAGGTTTGAGACCTCAGCTGCCTGGTAGGTACAAAGAATCAGGAGCGGAACGGCCAGGAAGCTGCAGTTTCCACATAAACCTTGTGAAGGCTGAAATACAGTATGTGTGAGGCCAGGGTCCTGACCTCCATCCCAGAAACACCCTTCCTCCTTCTAACACACGATCAGACCATCTGGATCATATCCTCGCTGTCCTCCCAGCCACTGATGTGCCAGGAGAGCTCAGGACCCAAAGCAGAGCCTGCTTGGACCCCATCCCCACTGTCTGCCTGTCCAGGAGAGCTCAGGACCACATGGATCAAGCTGTCCTTGGAGAAGCCCCATGCATGGTGTGAAAAGATGAGCAAACTGAGCACCATCCAGGTTCACCTTCACAACCAGCAGCTTTGTCCACGTCCCTCTGTGCCGGCACCATGGGCACCTCAGTGCCACACAGCTCCTCCATGTGTAGGGCCTGGGTGCTGACGGTGACATTCACCTTCCCTGCAGGTGCAGACAGGGAGTTGTAGTGTGAGCAGAACCAGTATAAGCCAGGATCTGGGTGCTACTGGAATACACATCTTTAGTAAAAACATCCCTCTTAATGGCTGAAGGCGAATAGGAGAGGCTGAAGATCTGCCATTCCTGTCTGCACTGTGATGGACTTGGGATCTTTGCCTGATCCCTGCAGAAGTGTAGAACAGCCCTACCCAGGCAAGTAGCAACTGGAGCGAAGACAGAAAGACCCAGTAAGAAAAAGATAGTAACAGCTTTCCAGACACTGATAAAGCATGCTAACCTGTCCTGGAGAGGCAGACAGTGGGGAATGGAAGGCGAAAGATGGAGGAAGATCTGAGGTAGGAATTTGGATGGAAAAAGAGTTCACAGGCTCTTTATACATACCCTGTGTCCCATTGCTCTTCAAGTCACTGCCTGCCCAAAACAGCCTGTGTCCCCTCCCCATGGAGGGACATAAGGAGTGGACAGGACATCCCTTTCTGGGGTCACTGATATGGGAGAAGAGAGGCCAGCCCAGCTGGAGGCTCTTGCGACCCATCTCCTCCAGGGTGACGCTGGGGATGCCATGGCTGCTCCTCAGGCTGAGGGCAACGCACATTGGCTCATCCAGATCCATGGGATGGCTGTGCACGTTGCCCCCATGCGAGTAGTAGATCACACAGGGGAACCTCACCACAAATCTCCCAGGCAGAGGACATCTCCACAGCAGAGGTGGGCAGGGACCTCCACCAAAACCCAGTGCTCCACAACCACAGGCACTAATCCCTCTGCCCTCACAGGGACAGCGCAGCACCCCGAGCACCTCCACCCCAACCAGGCAACCACACTCAGGATGAGGACTGACCCCAAGCACCGGAAGCGAGCTGAGACCACCCACCATCCCACCCAGCATGGACAGATGGACAAGGACAGGGCTTGCAGCCATGCAGCTGCTCTAGCATTGAGGTGCAGAATGCAGAGCAGCAGGCAGGTCAGGGCTGTTCTGGACCCCATACCCAGGGGAAGAACACAGAGGCAAGGTAAGCTCTGAGCCCTCAGTTTAGTCTTCCTCTTCTCCCATTCATCCTTACCTCCCTGATGCAGCAAGTAAAACCCAACGAGTTCTCCAGCTGAGACAACGTTTAACCACCCAGTCCCCCACCCCTGATGGTTTCAAAGCTCCAAGCAGCCAAACACAACCCATGGCAGCAGGCAAGCAGCAACCCTGGGAAATCAGGTCCTCCGTGTGTCCACTGCTATTGATCATCTCCATGGGATGGTTCCCAACCTGCAGAGTTCCAGCTCACTGCTGCTAATAGTGTTGCCCAGCCCGTTCTACAGGGATGGATGATTTCCAGTGTTTTGCAGAATTTCTTCCATTTCTGAGAACAGCAATGATGAGCCCAAGCACTGTGCATTATCTTGGCCACGGTTTGCCCATTATTTCAGAGATGCTCCACGTGCAGCACGGCCATCCCCCCCTGCCCTCATTCCCCAAGCTCAGGCGTGACACCATGCATGAACACCAGCTGAGAGAACTCTTTAATTTTGCACCTTCATCTCATTGTTCTGCATTGAGGAAGCTCTTCTAATGTAGCAATTTCCCCCCTCCCCGCATCCCTCCACTCCCCACATGTCCTGGAACCCTCCTCATGATTAGTGCATGAGGACAGCACAACTAGAGGAACCCTTTGCAACGAGCCCATGGGTGAACCACACCACAAGAAATGGAGAAGGGTGTAGCAAGTTCTACCCGGTACCAGATACCCAACCCCCCTGACGTCCCCATGAGCTCTGCCTAATCACTGGTCCCAGTTGTGTCCTCCTCACGCCACATGCTGTCAGTCCTCATGGTTGCCCCAGTGCCTGGGAGCAGAGGAAGCTCCACATGCTGATCCCTGCAGGGATTTGCAGACATCTCAGAGAAGACATCAACCATGATGTTGCGGACAGTCTCTGTCAGCCCCGGGACATCCTTTGGGCTCAGGCCACGGGTTTCTATCTTGGGGAGAACTCGGATGGTGAACATTCCTGGAAATGGAGAGGAGAGGCGAAGGAGGCCAGGTCATCCCACCAGCATCCTCCACCACTGGACGCCTCCATGCACCTCAGAATCCTTCATGAAGACCTCCAGCCCTCACGCGCCCCATCCCCACAGCCTCTGCAATGGGGCTTCTTGTCCTCAACTTACCAGGGGTGAATTTCTTCTCCTTGGAGCTGAAGAAATCCCAGTATGGAGAAATCACAACGGGGAAAATAGGAACCTGCAGGAGATGGAGGGTCATGCAGTCCCTTCCCCCCCTCATTTAACACCAGTAGGACTCTAGCTCCTGCCATGCCCCAGGTCCCTGCCACCTCCCTGGGACCTGCAGTTCCCAGAAGACTCTAATGCCCCCCACCCCTCTTCGCCAAGGGCAGTTGATGGAGAATGTTCTGTGAGCTGTGGGAGATAACCACCCCAACTTGCTGCCTTACCTGAGCCTGCACAGCCAGGTGGAACGCCCCACGCTTGAAGGGCAGCATGGATCTGCTCTGGTTCCTGGTGCCTTCTGGAAAAATCCACACTCGGAGCTGCACAGGACAGGGTGAGATGCGAGCGTGGACCCCAGGCACCACCTCCCCACCGTGACACTTGTGGTCCTCCCTGAACCCCCTCTACCCCCAGCCCAGTTTCTCCTGCTCACATTTTCACGCCGTATGGTCTTGGCCGTCTGGGAGATGACATCAATGGCATCTCCGGTCCTTTGGCGGTCGATGAAGATGATGCCACTGAGCCAGCAGGCCCAGCCCACAGTGCCCATGTACAGGAGCTCCTTCTTGGCAATGGGCACGCAGCGCTTGGGGATGACCTCCACCATTCCTGGAGGATGGATGGGAAGGAAAGGATCAGCCCCTGCCTCGTGGTTCCCATCACCAGCCACATCATAGAGTCCCAACCCTTTCTCTGCGTTGCACCCGTAGCCCCGAGCTCAGCCCAACCCCAAAGGCTGCCCACATGGTGACAAAACCTTCCCCTCCCCTGCACGTACCCATCAGGTCAAGGGAAGCTTGGTGGTTGCAAACTATCACATAGGGCTCCTTGAGATTCAGGTGCTCGGCACCCAACACCTCTATCTTGATGCCATACAAGTGCTTGAGGGGCCGGATCACAGCACAGAGGAGCCTAGGGCAGAGGGACACATGTGGGGAGCAGATTGACACAGGGTGGTGGAAGGAGATCATGACAAGAGCAGGGAAGGCAAGAACCAGCTCATCTTTGCTCATCAGGGCAATTCCGAATTGCTTCACTTGGCCTAA